TATCAAGAGTGCACAAGGTTGAGTAATATTAACAGCTGTGGGTTTGGATCCAAACAACAGTATTTTTCCTATTTGTTATGTTGTTGTTGAATTGGAAAATGGTGAAACATTGGGTTTGTTCTTGAGGTTATTGAAGGCTGATCTTGGAATTAAAGATGATTATCAATGGTACTTCATGTCAGACAAGCAGAAAGGTCTTATCCAAGCATTCAATGATGTGTTTCCAAATGCTGAACATCGACTTTGTATTAGACATATGCAAGGTAACATGAGGAGAGTTGGTTTTATTGGACAATCATTCAAATTAGTTGTGTGGAGGGCAGGAAAGGCCACAACTGCGAATGATCTTGTAAGGAGGATGACAGAGGTAAGACAACTAGAAGAAAAGGCATATGACTGGCTTAAAGACAAGCCTCCTGCCCAATGGGGTAGATCTCATTTCAGCACATTGGCTAAGTCAGACATCTTGTTAAACAATCTTTGTGAGACCTTTAATGGGAACATTTTGGAGGCTAGACAGAAGCCTATTCTAACTATGCTGGAAATGATTCAGTTGTATTTGATGGAAAAAATGTAAAAGGCCAGAGAGAGAGCTACCAAGAATTGGAGAAAAAGTGTCATTTACCCTAGGATTAATAAGACTGTGCAACAAAACCTGCAGAACATCCTGATTGTATCCCTATAAAAGCAAGTGAATTTAACTATCAGATAAGCTGCAGCAATGGTTCCCAATTTTATGTTGACCTATCCAATAAGACATGTGGTTGTAGGAAGTGGGATCTCACTGGAATTCCTTGTGTTCATGCTTTAGCTGCCATTAGATGTGAGGGGTTTGAAGTAAATGACTTTGTTGACAGATGTTACTATCTGGATACTTACAAAGCTGTATAAGCAAGCATCTTGATGCCAATGAATGGCAGAGAGAATGGCCTATGTCCAATATTATACCTGCCAAACCCCCCACTTTTGGGAGAGGGGCAGGTAGACCCACCACAGCTAGAAAGCTAGAACCTGATGAGGTTATGCCAAAAGAAAAGAAGAGGAATAGAAGACAGAAATGTATTAATCCCCACAAGATTCAAAGGCAAAAGAATGTGATCACTTGTGGTAACTGCGGTTCAAAGGGTCATAACAGAAAACATTGCAAAAGCACATCTGAATTTGCAAATCAGGTCACTCAAGAAGATACTCTCCCTCCCACTCCACAGGTGATATTGCAAAATGATATTTTCCTTTTTTTATGTTTATTTTTACATACAATGATGGTTATTATTTTTCTTTATCATAATTATATAGGTTCATGAGAATACAGCAAGTGAATTTGCAAGTCAAGTCACTCAAGAAGAAGCTATTCTCCCTCCAACTCCACAGGTGATAATAATACTGATAATGTTATTTCCTTTATTTCATTATATGTACTTACTTACTTGCAATGTTTAGGTTCTTAAGACCTCAATCCCTAATCCTAAGAAGCCATCAAATCCAAATCAGAATATTGTTATCCAGGTGATAATTGTTAATAAAATTATTGACATTTTTCATCATTAATGTTTAATATAATAGAATATGTATATATGGTACATTAATATGTTTTTATTGCTTTTCAGGATGGTGCATTGAATGATGCTACATTGGAGCAACCTCCAACCATGTGGGACCAACTTCAGTCCCAACAGAACAATGAGCCTGGAGGATCTTCAGCATATAACATGAAGCCCCGGAAGTATGTCACATTTTTAGACTTGAATGCATGTCTTGCTAAACAGGGTACAAAAATGGTACAGGGGAAGGGCAAAACAAAGAAGAAGAATTGATGTAGTTACCTATTTTGGATGAAGAAACATTAATTATTGTTTTGGTTATATTATGGGTTGATGTTCTTCAGATTGGTTTTTGTGAAACTGGGATTTGCTTATGTTTGGGTTGATGTTCTTCAGATTGTTTTTTGTGAAACTGGGATTTGCTTATGTTTGGGATCTTAAACACTCAATTTTTTTGTGTTATAATTATGGCAATGGGTTTTATGATTCAACCTATGTTAGTTTTATGGTTATTGATGTGGTTTGATGGTTTGATGGTTATAGCTAGCTTTGACTATGGTATGATGGTTGAATATGCTTATACTTGTAGCTGTTGTATGATGTTTATGGCCTTTGGTGTGATTGTTTTATGGTATACTGGTTTTATCTTTGGTGTTGTACGATGTTTGGCAGGAAATCAATATAATCAATACATTATAAGCTATAAACATCACTGATCATATGTTAACTTTCTTTTTGGTTGGAAACAAAGTTACTGATGGATGGAAATCCAATAAAAATTGATCCTCAAGATGATACTCAATGTGGCAGATGCATTCATCAAGAATAGATCCTTACACAAATCAAGTACTTAACAGATCCTTACACAAAAGTGCTTAAAATAGCTAGGTAAATTGAAATTGCTTCATCAAGTACTTGCTTACACAAATCAAATCCAACACATTCTAACAAAATACAAGACCAAGAAACAACAAGGTGCCTGACTCATTAGATAAATCCTAAACACTTGACAAAATAATTAAGCACCAAGAAATCAATAAGTACATCTTCAATTTGCGCCTCTGACTCTCCAAAATTTTAACTTGTTTCATCAGTGTCTCCTTCTCTTCACGAAGCTTCTGAATCACATATAGACTACGTCGAGGAATTGGGGGATCTTCCCAAACAAAAAAAAATTACAGCCTCCAATCTGAATTAGGGCAACAATAATGTTTTAGAAAAATAAAAGAAAGAGAAAATACATGGCAGAACAGAGCTTAAGAGAAAAGCGTACCTCCCAATATTCACACCCGTTGAATCGCCTACCCAGGTTGGCTTCAGTCCACGAGGTCCACAGCTTCGCTTTCTTCCTACAGTTACAAAACGGAGAGACCTTGGGGCTACTGACCGACGAGGACATGGTGAATTTGTAACTCCCGAATTTGGATCGTCAACGCTCTGCAATTTTTTCTTAGGCCTTGGAGAATGGATCGAGCTATGGATGAAATTGGGATTTTCTTAGGGTTTGAGAAATGAAAATGACGAGCGGAGAGAATTAGGGATTTTCCCTCCACTTTAAGACACCCGTACATGTTTTTAACCGATGTGGCACATTAAAAAAAAAAAGAAAAATTAAAAACAAAATCCAGGTAGGCAAGCCCGTAAGAGTTACCTTCGTTAGCCGGTGGCAGGAATATTTATCACGTTTTTTGGAACTTACAGGACCTTTTCTAAAAGTTGGTCAGTTAAAGGACTAAACCTCAAATCGGTGCCACTTAAAGGACTATATCTCTAATTTTTCCCATAACTGAAAGATGAAATAAATACTAAAAAAAAACTTATTATGCACCAATTCTGCGATTAATATGCAACGTTGGTATGTCGCATAATAATTTTTTCGACTAATAGTCGCAGTTCATTCGCCTAACAGTAATAATTATTTAATGGGTGACGGACCGCGATTGACCGAGTCGTACATCGAATCTCCGCATATTCGTCGCATACTTTAACTCATAATTTTCTCGCACATGCTCATACCGGTCGTCTATCTATCGTATAGTTTTTTGCATATCTCTTCGTACTTTCTATGGTGAAAAACTTAACTTTTTATTGGGTGGTGTGAAAAACTTAGCAGGAATTCAAAACAGGGTGAAAATAGCTATTTTCTCAAAAAGATTCATCTTTGAGAATACTTCTCCCCTTTTAGCACTTTTGGTCATTTTAGAAAAAAATTAAATAAATGTTATTTGACTTAAATAAAAATAGTTGGACCTAGACGTTTGATTGTTTACGAAATAATTTGTTCAAAATGAGTTATTTTGGTTAACCATAGTTAATTTTGAAAAAGGTCTATGATTAGTTGTTAGTGGAATTTTATAAATGTATTAAAATAATATTTAAAATAAAATGATTAAAATTGATTAAATATAAAAGTAAGAGATAAATGATTAGAAATGATTGGAAATGATAGGTAGTTAAACTTATGTTAGTTGATGAACAGTGAATTAAAATTGATGTGATGTGTAAAAATAATTGGTTTGTATAATATAATTATATAAATAATATTAAAGATAGTGGGATTGAGTTAAAGTTGAATTAGATTTTGATTTGAAATAAAAATGAGTAAATTAATTTGTAAACAATCAAGCCTTGAGATCTTGCATTTTTTTTCATCTTCGAACAACCTACAAAGACTCGGGAGTTTTGATCTTCGAACAACCTACAAAGATTCGGTTGTTACTCTCGACGTAAATAATATGACGCTCACATTAAATAAACACTTTTAGAAGAAAAAACGTCAAATACAAGTGTTTTAAATACCGTACCGGTGCTCATACCGGTCTAGCCACCGGTACACGGTATTACCGGTCAGACCGGTAATATCGGTGGTATTACCGGACTCGCAAATATAATGATATATATAAATATACATAAAAATATATAACACCAAATGCAAAAAAGAACAAAAAATAAATGACCATAATCATTAATTTCAACTTCTCAATGAAATAAAAATAAAACATTTTAACCACCAATTTGAATTTTATGCTTTTATGGTATGATCTCAGTACAGACCGGTATAAACGTAAATTCAGTATTTTATGTGCAATTGTAACGTACCAATGGCCGGTATCCGGTATTACCGGCCGGTACGGTACGATATTTAGATCACTTTGTAAGATGACAAATTTGTTTTAGGGAAGCTCGATGGTGACATTAACGACATTAAGTCATCCATAAAGCAACATTGGTCTTTCAATGCCAATGTATGTGTCGGATGATGACTAGAATAACCCTCTTCCGCCATATTATAATCGTTATGACTGTATTGATGTCATGTTGTGCCTATGAGGAAGACACATCGATAATCAAATCTTGTGTGCGTGCTGTTATTTTCTATCCATAAGGATGCATTAGTCCGAAATGTAAGTCATCCATAAAGCAACACCGGTCCTTAAATACCACTGTTTGTGTCGGAAGATGACAAGAGCTACTCTTACTCCATCTCATAATCTTTATGACTACAGGTTGTCATATTGAGACCATGAGAAAGAAACATCGATAAAATCATGTATTTGGAATACAATTTCTTTTGAGTTCTTATGGTATTGAATCATTCACCTGAAAAGTGCATTTTCTCTCTGTTTTATGTGCTGCAAATTTGTTTCTTGTATCATATGCATTTGGTTCAGTTCTTTTGTGTTACACTTGTTATCTATGTTTTGTTTACTATGGATCTTATAATGAAACAGTTGGCAAACCATTCCTTTCAGTTTGGGATGTCGAGTATGTGAAATAAATTAATTCGATATATTGTGAAGAATGTGATATCTTAGTTTGTGCATTGCCTAGTTTGTAATTGTGAAGTTATCTAACTCTCGTTATGTTTCCTTAGGGCTTTCTATGGTGTTTTGGGGTTTGTTATGGAAAGTGGGGCCAAGGGATGTGAGGTACAGTGACGAACCTACTTCAATTCATATGAATCGTATTTTTTTTGTCCCATTTACAACTACATTCGATTGGCATGTAGGTGATCGTTAGTGGCAAAATGAGGGCCCAGCGTGCCAAGGCCATGAAGTTCAAGGACGGGTACATGATTTCTTCTGGCCAGCCCGTGAAAGAGTACATTGACTCCGCTGTTAGGCACGTCCTGCTCAGACAGGTTCGTGTTTTTTTTTTTCCTCTTTATTTTGTGTTTATATTAATGTTTGTTAGGTGTGCCAATAGATAACACGAATATGACACAACACTGTTAGAAAAAGCGATTACATAGACAAATGAGACGATGGACCCTAAACGACACTATATATAAAAACAAAAGAATTCGTTAAATTTGGATTTAGTATATAATGCAAGTGTCAGAATAGTAAATTCTATTTGCAGATGTAATTCACTTTTAGTTACTATTATTATCAGGGGGTACTTGGCATCAAGGTCAAGATCATGCTCGACTGGGATCCCAAAGGAAAGCAAGGCCCCACAACTCCTCTTCCGGATCTCGTCACAATTCACCCTCCGAAGGAAGAGGAATTCATCAGGCCAGCAGCTATTGTGCCGACTGAATTCGAGGTGCAAGCATAGAAGAACAACTTTGCCTTTCATCTTTTGTCGAGCATCTTAGTTTATTTGTTCCTGAGTTATAAGAACCCTAGAATTATTTGTTTGACCAATTTTCTTTCTACAACAGTAAATTTTGTTTGGCTTCATTGGAGTGTCATTTGTTCCGACTGCTTAATATCAGATTTCATTTTCAATATGATTTAATAGCAATAATAAGCCATCCCAGTAAAATAGTAAGTGAATTGAATAAAAGCTTCTTTAGAAGAATTTGTTGCTAAAACAGTAATTTCTGTAACCTGATGTAGAACGTGAATGACGAACGGGATAAATAATGAAATATTCTCTCGTGAATCACAAAATCTGATAAATTTCAATCAAAGCTCTCCACTTCTGTTGCATTCCAAAACATAAATAAAGAAGAGTCCTACACCAACAAGATACTTGTAGGATATTTATTTATTTACTTGCTCCTAATAGATATATAAGTAGGAAATAAATAAAAAGAAAAGCAAATAATAATCAAATCAAATGCAGAGTCGATCATATTTGTCTAGAAACTCCAACGCGAGCTCGTCTCCATCATCCTCCCCCAGTTGAGAAGGATTCCTCCTCGAATCCGGACCGAGCTCATCTCCGTCGGAGTCGTCGATAAGCAAAGGATCCAACTGTGCCACATGAAAAACATCTGACAAACGAGCATGGGGGGTAAACGAAGACGGTACGCATCGGGCCATTCGATAACCTCGTACGAGCCCAATCGTTCATCTGTCAGGGAAACAACCCACACAAAGTCGCCCACATCATATACCATCGAACGACTATCCACAACTCCCACCAAGTCGCCATGTTACAATGCCGTCGACGTCTATTGGAAAGGAATAGAACGGGGGGCTGAAGGAAGTAAGATAACGCGATGGCCCTCAAACAGAAATCCATACGTGTTAAGGCGCCCATCATGAATCACGGCACGATCAAACTGACACGGACGTCCTAACAAAAGGTGGCAATCATCCATAGACACGACATCGCACCACACCTCATCCCTATATGCAGAGCCAATAGAGAAAGACACTAACACACGCTTGTTAACATGGACAACGTTGTCGCGTTGTATCCACGCGAGAGCATATGGATCTAGATGCGGCTCTGTCGACAATTCAAGCTTCGCCACAGCCTCATTAGATATCACGTTTTTGCATGAACCGGAATCAATAACAAAACGACACACCTGGCTGCCAACGGTCCACGTAGATTCGAAAAGTTGTCGACGCAGGCCCTCATCAGTGGAAGCGACAGGCGGGGACAAAAGAGAGCGACGAAGAACAAGCGCATGTCCCACATCTCCCGATACATGCACTTCTGGAACCTCGGGCTCTTTGTCAAAAATAGGAGGGCCATCATATACTGCAGCTGCCGAATATTCTGCCGTCTCCTCGGTGAACAAAGCACGCGACCCGGTCCCTTTTGGACAAGCCGCTTGTTGATGCCCGAGCTCGCTGCACCCGAAGCATCGAATCCCGCCACCAGTCCGCTGCACACCCGCGGCTGCCGACTGCCCTCCACTAGTTGCATTACCGTGCCCCATTACCCGTGCCGAGCCCGAGTACACCCCCGAAGTAGGTGGCCTATGTTCGGGCTACACACCCGCACTCATAGATGTATCTGCCCGTGAGGAAGACGCAATGGAAGGACCCGTCTTCCGAGCCAACTGTTTCTCAACAACGAGAGCTCGTTGATGTGCATCCGAAATAGATTCCGGGACAACAAGATTAAGCACATCCTGGATAGCAATATTTATACCTCCCACATAACGAGCAACCAACTGGCCCTTAGTCTCACGTTTCTCCACACGAGTTAAGAGGCGATAAAAGTCCTCTGTATACTCGTGAACGGAACACTGTCCTTGCCGCAAAGTATGTAATGCTGATAAACCATATGATCATAATTATAAGGCAGAAATTCACGTTATACGTACTTACAGAACTGCATCCAAGTGGATATTTCTGGCTTCCCCTGGCGATGCCGCAAGCTTGTGAGTTGCATCCACCAAGCCGCCGCTCGTCCACGGAACCGCGTGGTGACAAGCGACACAAGTCTGTTGTCTGGGACCTCCTTAAACTTAAGGACAGACTCAACTGCAGCCCACCAGTCGAGGAACTCCGCTGCATCTGCTCCTCCTGAGAACTCTAGAATCTCGAC